ATATATATATGTATACATCATCATACTGTCTGATAAGGCGAGTCAATGTACTTTCCTCGCAACGTCACGAACGGTTGAGGAAAACTGAACTCTTCAGAGAGAGGTAGGGGAAAGAAGCAATCACGGAGATCAATGCAATGCATAGGACGTGTACGTCGAATTCCGACGACCAACATTGTGAATGAGGAGCATCATGTTACACGAGAGGACAGACCGCACGAAACACGACCGTCCCAAGGAGACGGTGTACCACACATGCCAACACGAGCGAAAGATCACATACGAAAACGAGACTAGCACAAAAACCCCGGATGAAATGGACAAACAGTGTGATTAGCAGCTTACGGTGCGCATGAGCTGAAGCTTAGGACAGAAACAAAAACGGGAAACAAGAAAAAGATCAGAACAGTGAGGATATTGGATCGTCGCACCAATCCGGTTTTGACAGGAGACAGGTTTGATTTGGTGGACGGCAGGGGACGAGAAAGTTCACAGCCAAAAAAAGGAGGTGGAATTTTCCATTGAGGTGTTAGAACTACTACACTACAGTACCGTTTCGTGTGAAATTCGATGACTGTGTGTGTGTGTGTGGAGTTCAGGCATTGCGATTGTTGTTTTATCTCTCCATTATTTCTTTGGAACGGGGATAGCAAGGTCATCTTATCCAGGCACAGCTTTTGGCATCCGGTGCTTTGCCGAAAACATATCTAGCCCAATTCTAATAATACTCGATCATTCATTTGCACAGTGCGTTTGAAAGATATAGTTCGTCTTTGTTTCCGTGGAAATCTAGGCAAATACATCTGGATACGTGTGTATGCACAGGGACAGCTGATACTAAACACGCTCACGCTCCTTATACATATAGGTTAACGGACAAAAGACAAGCAGAACCATCGAGAAATATCAATACTCACGCTAAATAGTCTAACATTCTGTTACCACACGATCCAGTCAACATGCAATATGAACGGCGAGAATTCGTAACTGAATTATATGTGGTTCTCTTCGCTCGTTAGCTGGTTTGCTCACTCGTGCGTGCGAGAGCACGAGTACATAGCAACCACTATATTGGGATAAGCGTAATTCACTCGTGACAGAATAAATGCATGACTGCCCTGTGGATGCTGGTGGGCTACGGGAATCCCAATTCCAACACTCAGTTCAGTTCAATGTCACATGCACTTCTGGCACAAAACAGACGAGTACCATTCCTCGCGGATGTTCACTGGTGAACATTGGGTCTTTCAGTGAAGTTAACTGGGCCCGTGTGTGCGTGTTCGGACCTATTAATCCGATTACTATAACGATTCTATTAACAACTATTCATCACCTCCACTATCGAGATCAAGCAGGTTGAAAGAACTTCGTGATAAAGATTGCCGAGCACACAGTGTATCTGGTTGGATAGATGATAATCTGATGATGATGATCTGCGCACGTAATTGAAATCCGAAATAATTATGGATAAAATGGGATCATCATCGATTCCTGGACTTATTGGCAGCCATGAATAATCAAGCGAGTTGACGGGTGAGCATGATGCATAGAGCCAGTCAGTCAGTCAGTCATCACTGATGTGTTGCCGACCGATATCGACCAAAGAAGGAACTTGAACTGAACTGAACCAGGCGCTCACATATGACGGGTTCGATTGCTTGAATCGGTTGGAGATGGTGAACCATAGCTGCTGGTATTGGATCGATCAGTGAATACGACTGCGGTACCCACACACAGATCCAGAAAATGAGGGATAGATATGATGATGATGAGAAAAATGTAGGACAGCCGAGAAAGTGAAGAAAGCAAAACCGATGGGACGGTGTCGCGGATAACAGCAGCTTCTCGTGGCAGCGCAGTGCACATAAACACACGCACACTGAAGGAGGCATATCAATACACAAAACAATACACACATGGACGGCCACAGAACTCTCCAGTGGTCGGGAAGATGTATGGACCCGTTTGCAGGACACAAAGAATTCGGCCGAAAAGCAACCGATAGGAAAGCACCTTCAAATGACTAAAATTGGAGCGTTACCACCAAATGTGTGCGTGTGCGTGTTAGGATTAGGCTAGTGGCCAAGTTTTGAGTGGATCAGACCGGACGAAAGTCTGTCCCGGAATAGTGTGGAAAAAGACAGTGTCAAAGGTGGTCGGAAGAAGCTTCATGATGCACCAGAGCCTGGTGCGCGCACGCACACACCCACACCCACATACACAAAATATGTACATGTGTAGAGCATGAAAAAGCAGTACGAATTGTGCGGTTAAGAATCACCAAAATCATTGATTTTTGTTGCAATCAGTTTCAATAGCTGACGAAACATACCCACAACTGAGGTGAGGAGAGAGTGTAGTGAATCTGACAAAGGACAAGCAAATAGTGATTAGACTACCGGCACAAAAAAATGCAGAAAAACACACATTGATTGGANGTAATGAAATTGATATCAGCATCAAACCGGATTTCTACCGATCGATTCAATATGTATTCGGGCGAAAAGAAGATCAAATCTATTTGAATCATTGAAATCCTACATGTTCAAGTGGAAAGCTGTCGAGCAAGGATCGCACTACGAATAAACTGTCCAAAAAGTTTCATTATGTGGACTTGATTTAGGAAACGAGAAAAAGCTGCACTACCATCCAAATTGTAAGACAGCAGAAATTATCTGCAGTACATGAACAACCACATGAATCATATTGATCAGTAGCAAGAATTGATTTCAATGACAGTGTGCTGGGCTAGGTATACAGGAGCGCAACCGAGCAGCTCCTACTGCTATCGGACGTCAAT